GTGACCCTCCTGGGTCTGCGTTCACAGGTCAATGTTGTACATGTGATGCACCTGCTCTTGGAACTTCTGGTCGTCCATTCCTACGAGAGCCATGGGGGGCTCAACCTGAGGGGGCGGATCTACTATCTACCGGTTGCTGACTCTCACGGGAACCATGAGTGGTTTGACCTGCGAGGTCGGCTCCATAATCAACCGGATACAAACTCATGGGAGTCATGGAGGGCTTGATCTTCAATGCAGCCTTACAGTTGGGGCTAGGAGGCTATCTAGGCCAGATATCTAAAGCTTGCCCGGGTTGGTCGTTCAGATTCTGCCCCCTTGTGATAGCATCATTAATACATGCGTTGCTATTAGCGTTATTGAAGACATTGTTGCCTGAGGATGCAATTGAGCTTAGGACTAGAGAAAGGTGAGAACTTGGCTTTGTGTAGCAATCCCATAGACAATGCCAATTGATGATGCGCGATCGAACGCTCCCTGCTGAAGGATAGCTTGGATGCCAGACTGAGTAGGTCACCTAGTCAAGTTGCAAAGGAAGAGATTAGAGTATTTGGGTTGCTTTACCCGAGGTGGGCACTCCGATGCTTAAGTTAGTGAAGAGTTTTGAGAGAGCTAAAAAGCAAGAGAGCTAGAGAGTTGTGAATGATAAATTGTGCGTACCTTTTCTGAGGAAGGGGATGCCTTTATATAGGCAAGCTGCTGTTAGGCTCACAAAGTGCGTCCAAGATCTCCGACCCGTCTGGTTCGGAGGTGGTTTCACGCCTGGAGGTGGACTCTTCCAATGTGGCATCATGATCTTGGGGAAGTCAAAAATGATAGCCCGCTTAAGGAAGAGGTCTCCCAGCGCATCAAGCAGGTCGCCAACTAGGTCCCATTTAGGTCGACAAGGTCTTGGGGGAGGTCGCCCCTTATGCCAGGGTCCCTAGCTTGGTCGTGATGAAGTCGTCACTTGAGTCTTCATTAGGTTAGAAGAGGTAGGTCTCCAACTAAGTCTCTGTCAAGTTAATGGAGGTAGGTCACCTCTTCCGCCAATGTAGTCCTGTCAGGATCTTACGCCATCAGGTTGGCAGAGGTAGGTCGCCAATTAGGTCTCTATCATATTGGCGGAGGTAGGTCGCCAGTTGGGTCTCTGCCAAGTCGACGGAGGTAGGTCGCCGCCTGGATCTCTGTCAGGTCGGCAGAGGTAGGTAGGTTGACCACCATGTCATGTAAGTTGCTACTTGGACCTCAGTCTGGTCGATGAGACCTTGACGGAAGGTCTACCTTCGTGCTAAGGTCTCATGCTTGGTCCTAAGGTGGTCGTCTTGATCCTGACAAGGTGTCTATAGGTTAGCCAGGGCGAGGTGGTGACGAAGAGCCCTCAGGGCGTGTGAGGTGCATCCAACATGGTTCCGAGTAGGTCTTTATCATTTTGTCTAAGGCAAGTCATCGCTTATGTGGTGTCATGCAACGGTTCTGGGATCGCCACATGGCATGATGTCACTAGAGGGCCAAATTTTCCCTCATCAAGTATGAAGAGTTCTTTTTCATCAAGGAGAGTTGATGGAGATAACTTTGAGACTGAAGCGCCACATAGTATTCATACTTATTTTAGACATAGATGGCATTAGTTTAGAATTGCAATTTAATTGCAATTTGGTAGGGATTTAATTGCAATTTTTAGTTTCTAGGTTTCTTATAAATTCACATTATGTTAGAGTTGTATTATGTTATGTTTTTAAGAATAAGTTTTTTGAATTCTCTTCTTCTTCGAGTTGTTTCTCTCTCTCTTCTTCTTCCCCTATTTCTTTCTTTCTTTTTTCTCTAACAAGTTGTGCTTCACTTCCGCTATCTCTTCCACTATCTCTTTCAATGGTAAGATTACAACTTCTCTGGTTTCTACAAGAGCATGACAAAACAAGAAAATGAACTCTTCTTCTTCTCTATTATAGACGATAACTTTGCACTGTGTTTGGTTTGAAGGAAAAAATAGAGAAAGGAAAGGAAAAGAAAGGTAGGGAAACCTTTACAAGCCTTGTATGGGTCTCCCTACCTTTTCCTTTAAACCAAACATAGCCTTGGTGTTCACTCATACACTGATACATGTAGTAGCTAATACAAGCTCATTTCAATAGTCTCACAATAGTCTAAAATTAATTGGGATAAATAAATAAATAAATAGGCAAGGGTGATAATTCAACTCCTATTGCTTCAATTATTAAAGATGTCCAGCATGTTAAAAACAACTCAATTATCCCATTACTGAGTCATGAAGTCTTTGGAATACCAAGGTCGTGCATAGAATGCCAATAGACATGATGCTGCACATCACCATCATTAAGGCTCAATGGAAGGAGCAAGATCAATAGGGCAAGTATGTATGTATGTATGTATTATACTCAATTGCCAATATTAACATCCCATTTCCATCCTTTTCCACTATTTTACTGTTTTTACAAAAAAAAAAATATTAATAAAAATGTTTAGATTTGAGTCATAAAAATAGAAAATTTCTAGCAAAAAATATGCGCAACATAAGAAATAATTGTCCACACTCAATATGGGTTTAATATGGATTGTAATGGACTGGCTATACATAACCAAAAAGTAAAACTTCGGTTGGAGTAGGACCATCTTGGATCCAGTGCAAATTTAACGTTCCTTTTCTTCAATTTTCTTGATGAAAGTAATTAACGAAGACGTGCTTTAACTGATTTGATGGTTGTTGGTTGGTACTTTTCTTAATATCGGGATCTGATCTTGCCAACAAATATCCCAACCAACACTTTTCATCATGATCTTTGTCCGCACACATCATGCATGGTGGGTTTCAGAGGGATTTTTGTTAGTTATTCTACTGTTTCCATTACAAAGAAGTCATGGTTCATGGATATAGAATGTATAATTTTCTCCTCCTCTTCAGACTTTTTCTGACAAACCAAATACATTCTTGGTATTTGTATAATTTCCTTTAAATTCTCAGAATAGTCAAGAAGAAATTAAGCGTGATGACACCTGTGAAAGATCTTAGGTTGAGTCCCTAAGCACACGTGATCTCTCTCTCTCTCTCTCTCTCTCTTGTATTGATCAGTTAAATAGATCGAATAAATCTATAGCAGATAACAGCGGTCACTTTGGAGCAATACTCATGAGCTAGCTGACGAAAAGATTAACAGCACTACTCCAGTAGTAGTAGAAAGAATAAGTTTTCATTTCATTTCTGGCGATGAAGTATCTGATTCTCTAAAATCACTGGGTTCTGGATCTCCTCCTCATCTTCATCTTCATCCTGCATTGGTTGGAACAGCTGAAGAGGCTCAAAGCTGCGAGGCGACGGACCCATTTCAATTGCGAGGTCGAAACTAGAAGGGAGGCCGCTCATGGTGACCAGATTGTTCGAAGCCGTGGAATTGTTCGAGAATGCTGGCTGCAGCACTGATAAGTGCTGCTGCGTGCTCATCTGCAGCTGCAGGGCGTTTGCTACGGCCAACCTGTTGTTAATCAGCTGCTCCTGCACCACCGAAAGCTCCGCTTGCAACGCGGCCACCTGAAACAATCGATTTTTGTGTGATTATTAATTTATACAAATTAAGGCTAGAAATAGTAAAGTGCAGGAAAGAAATTAAAGTTGGGCATGGCCAATGAATTGAACCTGCTGCTGTAAGGCGAGAATGGTGGAGACGCAGCCATAAACAGGATCAGACAGCCGAGCCTGGGCCTCGTAAGATATAGTGACGACGGTGTCGTGCCGTCGGTTTGTCGGAACATGCAGGAGAAGCTTTGACACATTACTCGCGCCGAACACCTTGTGCACAGCTGCAAAGCGAGCAGCCCCTTGGTCTGTCCCGAAGTATGGTGCGAAGATGCATCCGCTTATGCATTTCCGCCTCAAGAACTTGCATGCTCCGCATGGAGCCGCTGCGGATGGCACCGCCGCTGCCGACGGAGCGGCCGGGCGTTTCCCGGCGCCACCGCGGCGACTGTTGCACGAGGCCTTCTCGGACGTGTCGCCACCTTGTCGCATGTCCATGTCGACGTACGTGCTACCTGCTGATGCCGGAATGTGGTGATGAGTAGGGGAGAAGAGGGGAAATGTTAATATGTAGGAGGGAGGGGAACACGCTAGTCTCGTGAAGGGTTGGCGAGGTGAATGAGGTGAGCCTTTGGGAGACGTTATAGTTGGCGAGACTTGAGAGAGAGAGAGAGAGAGAGAATTTTCAGAGAGACTGTAAACGAGTCGAGTCGGATTCGGATCCGATTAATCTAACTCCGCTCTATTCTTATTAAATAAAGAAAATTAAAAATATTTCCTTTTAACTTGTGCTGTTGTACTATAGGAAGCGGGAAATTACATATAAAAGGAGAAATTTTCCCACCTTACAAATTTTTATATATTTGTACAGTTAAAAATAGTAGCAAGTGAAGGGATAAGACATAATATAAGGGGATATATACTCTATTATAGGTGGGATTTTGGAAAATAAATAAAAATGTATGAAATAGGGTAAAGTTGAAGTGAAAATTTCTCTCTCTTTAAATCAAGGTTTTTAAAATTAAATTGGACAACGAACCGGCCAGGGGTTCAATTCCTAGGTTGAACGGTCTGATCGTTTGAACTGAATGAATGACTCATTCTAACAAAAAAATAAAAAACGGCTAAAACAGTCGGATGGTTTGAACGACTTGATCGCACAAATCGATGATTTTTAGCAAAATAATGATTTTGAGGTAAAACAGAATCGATCACTTAATCAGTGTTATATTACATATGTGGGCTCAAATTTTTACCACACTGCATTTAATCTCATTTATTAAACGGATGCAGGTTTTAGCATTCAAACCCGAATAGTTGGATCGGATGTGGGATGAGTATCGGATTTTTGGAGTTCGTTGACGGCCCCAAGAGAGAGGCTGGAATGTTTTTGTAATTAAAGAAAGATCTGAATGGAATCCACACGTGGAAGTATTTTACACGTGCAAGGGGTTTTTGTATGGAGATTGGTTGGTCGATTGGGGAGCAGAAGGACACAAGATTTGTGCTGCCCGTGGCGTGTGGGATGGTGAGCACCGAGAAAAGAAGAGGGCCAGCATCACACCATAAGAGACTGGTGTCAGGTGGAGGTGGGCCCCAGAAAGGGTAGTTTCTTTGACAAATCCTTGTATTTTTTTATGCCAGACGAAACTTCCATGTTCTCCCAACACATGAATTATCACCTATTTGCATTAATTCCATGATTTGGAGTTTAGACTGAAAGTCTGAAACTGGTTGATCAGATCTAGTTGTCTTATTTGGGCTTTCGAGGTGGAGGACATAGCTTATAAATGTAGACATGTTTAGAGTGTGGATGCACAGTTTCACACTTCACCTAATAAACAGAATACAGAGTTTAAAGCACTAGTTTCTCTTGTTTCTGTTGTTGGATCCATGAGGAAGAGAATCTGGTTTCAACAAAAAAAGGGTTTGTCCAATTCTAGTTTCAATGTAATAAGCCAATTCAGTTAGAACACAGGTTTAATTTCAATATGAGAGCGGCCATTGGTAACCGATTCGGTTAAGAAATTGAATGTAACATGGGCATCTTTTAAACACCAGTGCCATTGCGTGATCCCTTCTAACATATATATATAAAACCTAAATCCTAAATCTTAAAATTAAGGTGATATTTGATAAATCTAAAATCTGAAAAGAAAAAGATATTAAGTGTCTAAAATCTAAAAAGTGACAGTTATTTTTTTGACTTTTTAGAAGTTCTTAATAAAGAAGGTTTGTGTTGGATCAAACCTCCAGTATATGAAATTCACTAATTTTACTATTTTACCCTTAAATTAGACTATTTGGTAATTTTGAGTTCAACTTGTATTATTTCATAACAATAATTTATTAAATTCAAAATAATATTAAAAAATATGAATAAATTATAAAAATAAAAAAAATAATTTATTAAAATAAGAAAAAACGATGGACGATGAGAGTTGCAGTGGCGTCCGTGGATGGTGGAGGAGTTGCAACGGATGAGTCACTTGCCACTAATGGTTTGTCGGAGTCACTTGCGGCAGTGGAGTCGCCACCGCTAGTTTGTCGAAGTCACTTGCGGTGGAGGAGTTGTCGCCATTGGTTCACTGAAGGAGTCACTTGCCACCATTGTCGAGAGTTGCAGCGGCGATCAAAAATGAAAAATAGTGGACGGAAGCCATGAGACCATAAAGAAGAAGAAGAAGAAGAAGAAAGAAGGGAGAGAGAGAGAAGGCCGGAACTCGCCGCCGTTAATTCGCCGGAGGAGCCACTTGCTGCCCCTACATCAAGTGGAGAAGATAAACAGTGAGAGGGAGAAACGCAAGCATGTTTTTAAAGATATTTTGGACTTTCGGCCAAGTCTGAAATGCATCTGAACACGTTCAACGCCTAACCCAAGTCTTATTATTTTAGATCTGAAAATAATTTTCAGATACACTTCCAAACACCTTTGACATCTGAAAAGCGACATTTTCAAACTTCAAAGGTCTAAAAAGTGTTATCAAATGCCACCTAAGTATTTGGTCAGATGCATTCTACGAACCGACCAGGTAGGAGCCAAAGTTTTTCCCCTTCCTTCACTACTCGTCCTTTAGTACTTATCCTTCCCCTTTGAGATCTGCTCCACTTCCATCCACTAGTTGTGGAGCTTCCTCTCTTTAATGTGTTTCTACTAGCCTTTAGCTGGTTATTTTTTCTAATACTTAAAGCTCTAATCCATGGTCCAAAAAATTCTAGGACCCTCTTAGATTGAAACAGATTAACAGAACATCTCCTTCCAATCTTTCCACCTTATATAACCTCTAGTGGTCCTACCATACCATGAATTAATATTGCTCATATCTTTATTTAGCATCACCCTTCAGCACAAAACATAAGTTACATTAGAAATGGTCTTCATTCTTAGTTGTGGGGATTGTGATTTGTAGTGTTTTCAACCCTTCATTGATTCGGCTAGTTGAACCACTCGAACCGTCACCAGGTCAAGATTTTAGATTCAGTTTTAGTAAAACCTGGAGAAGGGTTAAAAACTGTTGATTAGGTAAAAACCAATTAACCTAGATGGTTAGACCATTGACCCCTTCAACCTGGTGGTCGGGTCACAAGTTACACACTAAATGTGTATGCAAACTTTGGGAGGGCATAACTTTACACTTTGATGTCCGATTAAAGTGATTTTTTTTTTTTATTTTGGTAACTTTTCAAGAGGCATCTTGCCCGGCCTCAGATTTCAATTTTTAATATTTTTGTAAATAAAAAATTAAAATACTAAATTAAATAAAAAATAATGCATATATTGCATTTAAAACATATTATGTATGTATGTACATATAGTTGACGTGGTATGGCCTGACCTATCTGACCCGGAAAATCAAACCAATGACCCGCGATGCAAAGGACAAAATGAACAAAGAAATACTAGCTAGCAAAACGAGCTCCTTGTTTGAAAAGTTCTTATGAATCATAAAGATCTTCCTCTTTATGATACTCTTTATTTGTTATTTCTTAGAGAATTTTTTGTGGTGTATAATTGGCTAATTAAGCAATTGTTAGTGTCTCCCTTGAACTTTGCCCATAATTACAAATTATTTCATTTTACTTTGGCTAATTTAGTTTATTACCCAATAATTTAAAGTCTATTTTCAAAACATCCCGTAATTTATACCACTTCTAAGTTCTAATTAACTTTCAGACTGAGGACCTTGGGAAGCCCTATTGAGCCCCTTTCGTGAATCCACTAAAAGAAGCTTCAACTGGTTGAAGACAGCAATTTTGTGATTAAACATCAGATTTTTTACTAAAAGTTGCTTATACGTTATCTATATGGGGTCCACCCAAGCTCAAATATTATAAAAAATATAAGGAGTATTAAATGCAATTTTAAGAGACATTGCCAGGATATGCTTTGAATATGCGCGGATCAATACAGTGGAAAAATTAGGGTTTACATGGAGATGTGTTAGAAAACTCAAATAAGTTCCAAAAGATATATCAATGATGCAAAAAGATGCATACTCTAATATCTTTCCCAAGTATGGATTACTATGAAGTGATGGATATTTTGGACTGAAATTTGGTGGGTTGGCACTTTGGAGCATCCTGAATCTGATGGAAGTGATGGATATTTTATTAAAGGTGTGGATTGATAGATTTGGTTCTGATCAGGTCCTTGCTTATGGCTTATCAATTAATGAGAAGACCTGAATGGAATCTTGCTTGTTTAATGGCTAAACGAAAGAGTTAACTCACGAAATTTGACATGCAAGGGCTCTTTGGGTCTTTGAATAGGATGGTGTGGTCTGAGTAGTCAAATGGATCTTGGGTGATGGAGATCTATGGCTGGTATGCTTTAATTAATAAGTTTTGCCAAAATAGAATCTTGGTCTGATGGCAGGTTGAATAGAGAGATTTTGAGTTGAAATTTGGTAAAGTGTCATGGATTTGAATTATGAGATTTTTGGAAGTGTTTGATTGTGTCATGGAGGTGTAGATCATGGGTTTTAGGCTTGAGAAGTGTCATAGTGTCAAATGCGTTGAAACGGAACCTTTAATGGATAAGTAGCAAAATCAAGGAGTTTAGGGCTGAACTTTGGTGTGATTAGATGTTCAAATGTCTTCTTTCACATGATGGAATCTGATCTGAGAACAAGTATGGTGGTGTGGCACAATCATGATCGTTGAAAGAGAATCTTGTAGATCTAATAGTGGATTTAAGGGTATTTGAATTGAGATCTTGTTTCCTAGAGTTTTGGCACATCCTAAAGAGAATGGTAAGGTTTGATTGGGCATCCAAAGTGCGAGAATTGGGTTAGAGAATGGACTGAGCAAAAATCGGGTGTTGATAACTACCCCTCTTTGTTGAAAGTAGCAAGCTACCAAACAACAAAGAAAAAGAAGCATGCAGGGATTTTTGTGAGGGATAAGAAGAAGAAAGGTGAATTCCGCCACTAGAATTTTTAGTCATGGTCAAAGTTGATATAGTGCAATGCCTTTTCTTGGAGGAAGTGTGGTATAATCCCAAGCCTTATGAGGCAAATGAAGTTATCATGTAAACGGCAAAGTGGTGCCATCCCAGAAGAGGTCATGATAATGTTTTGGCCTTTGATATTTTGGTTATGCTATTTTTTTCTTGTAATTTGTGACTTGTAACATTCAGTTTTTGATGACTCTGATCACTTGATTTGATGCCTTCGATAGTGTTGACAATCCATGATTTTGATTATAATTTGGTAAACTTTATTTCGGTATCAGTTTTTATTTTGAGCTTGTTAATGATAGTTTGAATTTTCGATACCTAATGCATTGATTTGATGCTTAGTGAATTCACTTTTTGATATTTGATGAGATGATTTTAAGAAGCCAACCCCAATTTGGTTTTGACAATCTTGATTTTTAATATTTGATGGGTTATACTGATTTTGATTTGATTTGATTTCAAAATGGATTTGATAAGCTTGGCATCTGGATTTTCTAATTTTTGATGAATTGAATTTGAATGGTTGATTATTTGACTTGATTGTATGATTTTGATTTGATCAATTTGATATTTGATTATTTGATTTGGCTTGATAATCTTAATTCTGATTCATGAAACCTAAATTTGATTATTTGACTTAATTTGATTTTGATGCATTTGAAAATTTTGATGGTTTGATTTTATACACTTAATTTGATGAGTTGACTTAATTTTAATTTTTGATATTCGGTGAGTTAACTTGTTTTATTTGATTTAATTCAATAAACTTAACTCTAATTTTTTATATTTGATGAGTTTATGAATTTGACAATTTTGATATTTTCTGATTGGATTTGATGATTCAATTTAATTAGATAATCACAATTTTCATTTTTGATGAATTTGAAAATTTTGATATTTGATGATTTGATTTAATTTCGATTTTTGATGTTTGATGAATGAATTGGATAATTTTGATATTTGATGGTTCATTTTAATTTGATCAGCTTAATTTTAATTTTTGATATTTGATTAGTTGAATTTGATAATTTTGATATTTGATGATTTAATTTCAATTTTTGATATTTGATGATTTGATTTAATTTCAACTTTTGATATTTGATGAATGAATTGGATAATTTTGATATTTGATGATCTAATTCAATTTAATAAACTTAATTTTGGTATTTGATGAATTTGATAATTTTGATATTTATTGATTTGATTTTGATATTTGATGAATGAATTGGATAATTTTGATATTTGATGATTCGATTCAATTTGTTAAACTTAATTTCGATCTTTGATATTTGATGAATTGGCTCGATTTTATTTGATGAGTTTGATAACTTTGACATTTGATGATTTTATTTGATTTTTTAAGGAAGAATAATGCAGGTGCATAACCCTAAAAGAGGGACATGGGGGAAATAAAGAAATTGAGGTTAACTATGCCCAATCGTGAGCCCTTAGATAACGTTTGTTTAATTTTTGTTCGGCTATAATTCTCAAAATTAGGAGGTGCATCATATAGTGAAGGAATGTCTCTCATTAAATTAAAGAAAGAGAAGACTTTGCTCTCACACAAATAAAGAAGAGAACTTGCTAAGGATAGGATCCCCTATGGTACCTTGGTGAGGGCCTCTTGATAAGGTAGACTCTCTTCTCTTTTTCCTTTTTCCCCTTTTCGCCCTTGGTGCCTCGATCAGGGTTTTCACCAAGTCCACGTATTACCTAATTGTTGCGCATAGAGCCATTATTGGTTTTCATCTGGGTTGCCAAAATTTGATCTTGCCATGATCTAACATTTTTACTCGAAGTGCCCTTTTGGGATTTCACTCTGCCCTTTTAAGGCACACGATTATTTGTGTTATTTCTCTCTAGTTGTTCTTTCTTCCGTCATTGCCACGAGGGGATGGGGAAGGCTTTCCTTGTCATCTGATTCCATATTCCTACTTTTGTCTTTTATCAGGGAGGTCTTAGTGTTAGAATGAAACATGTCTAAGGTTCAATGGTAGGATTTTCTTGTTGATATAGCTTGGCTAAGTTGTTATGGGTTATTAGGATACTAGAATCCTTCTCTCCATTTTTTTCTTTTTCCTCTATTTTTTATCTTTTTCTTATTTTTTTGTCCTCTTTATTTCTTATTCTTTTATTTTTTTCGCTATCTTGCTCTTTCCTTTTATTATTCTTTCTCCTTTTTCCTTTTCTTTTGGTCCTTATTTTTCTCTATCTTTAAAGATTGCCAAATGGTCACAAAAGCTCAACTATCTTACTATGACTTATTATTATAACATAGGACAAAAGGAATAGTAACAAAAAAAGATGGCAAAAGAATTTCACTGATAGCAATTGGTACATGGAATAGATTACAATTTAAACATAGTTCTTTTTTCACTTGATCTAGGTTGACTGGCTCTAGTAGGTCTTTGTCATCCATCTTGATGAGTATCAATTTTCCTCCAGCACTAGTTCTCCTAGTTGTACATCTTGGGGACGTACCCTTTTTTTGAATGCACACCATTTTCCTCTTATAGGCTTGAGTATGGGCCAATTTCTCTAAGAATGCCAACTGCTCATAATGTGCTTGGGCTCATTCTATCTTTGGGATTTCTAATTCCAATATCACACACAAAGGTGACACTTTGACTTTTACTGCTAAGACTGACTTCATGCCATACATGAAAGAATATGGCATTCCCCCAATTGATGTTCTGACTAATGTGTGGTAAGCTAAAAGGGCATACATTATAGGAAAAACTTACCGGCAGTTTTTGAACCGGCAATAGGGTGACTACCGCTGGAAATGTTAACCTTTAGTAACAGCCACGTCTTTTCTTCTTCTTCTTCTTCTTCTTCTTTTCTCATTTCTTCCTATTCCCATACTCTCTGTATCTCTCTGTCATCTCTTTATCTCTATCATTTGAGCTTCGCACCCCTGACCTCTCCTCCTCAATCGAGCTTCACACAATAATCCACTACTACAATTTAGGACTTTTAGTTTGGACACTTAATGACAGGAAGCTTTTGCTTCTCCTCAATCTCCATTTATGGCACAGAACCAGAGAACACGATTTGGGATTTTGAAATTTTGGTGGATATAAAGAACAGTAGCAGCTGTAATGGCTAAGAAAAATGACTAGAACTCCATTGCAATAAGTTAGGGCTCCTTGATTTCAAACATTTCTTTCTAATCTAATTCGTTGAGTTTTGACATTTTAGATTTTTTTTTTCTTTTTGTTTCTGATCAAATTCGTTTTTGGTATTTTTTCTATTAAATGGTTCTAATATCTTCTTTTCCTCAAGAACAACAATAGCTCTCTTCGATTAGAAGAATGGACGGTGCTGCTGGTTTAGGATTTCAGGTCTCCTGGATTAGAAGAACGAATGAACGACAAATTCTGTTTGCTGAAAAGGTATTGCACATGTTTCTGGCTCTTTACCTTAAATGTTGATTGTTTGAGTTTAACTTTACTACAGGCAATTGGACTAGATGTGTTTTATAACCTCATTGCTCGTATGATGCATTTGCAAAGTAACAGAACACATCTCATGGCCAAAGATGTTGGTCACCTCTGCGTTCAAGCTCCAGCTTTGCAATTGGAGGTGTCAACACCACCAGGCCTGAGGTAGATTTGGTAAATGCAAAATCCTGATCTTGATTAAACTTAGAATATGAAATCCTGAATTAGACTGTCATTTATTAGAAAAGGAAAAAGAAAAAAGAAAAAGAAAAAATGGAGTGTCATGCAGAAGTCTAAGTAGATATCTAATTTTATTCTTCACCAAACCAGTGCATTGTTTATCTATACTAATAATTATTATTTTAACTATATTTCTTCCGTATAGATAATTATAACTATAAGTATTTGTCATTTTCACATATCTTTAAAAATCCTTTGAAATACCAACGAATTGCCGCCACAATCCTATCTAAAATTTCACTAATATCCATTTTTTCTTGGTAACAAAGAAAAAATAAATGTTAAGGCATCTGGAATCTTGCCTATCCAAGTATAAAAGTTATTGGTTGTATTGAAACATAAAATCACTATCCATCATGTTAATATCTTTTGCCTATTAATGCTAAGGCTATAAGAAATCCTTTTAGGGAGACGCATTGGGTAAACAATGAAATAATCTTATTTAGAATCCCTAGTTAAATCCACAATAGAAGGTATTTGAAGAATTACCTCTCAATCACTTTCTTCATCAGAACCACTGAATGAGTAAACAAAAGTTAGAGTATGAAGACTCCTCTAGCATACCCTGAAGGCATTTGACACCTAAGCTCCTTTTGATTTCCCTATCACTGATTTCTTTTAATTTTTAAGAAGATTTCTGTAATTATCTTGGAGTTGGGTATTCCTTTTCTTTGAATTGAATGTAGATGCCATGGCTCTGTCTACCATTTCATCAATTTTATGTTCTTGAAAATTTAGTGGATAGACCTTTCCAAGTTGCACTAATTAGCAATACGCCATTCAAACTGATAAAGATTAATCATTATATTAAATATTGTTTTGGAGTCAACTATATTCATGATTATGATAAACTCTAGAAATGAATTTCCAAAATCCAAGCACATTATGAATAATAAATGCACAAGTACATATCTATGCATGCCCTGTTTTATGTATATACATAATAGAAATCTATTTCTAGCTTGGGCATGGTATGAAGGATCTTTGATTCTTGTTCCTTATCCCCTAAATATATGGTCACATCAATGATGACCCTGAAACCTTACAACAACTAATCTACACAATTTATAAATGGATATTCACTGTCAATTAACACTGTATTCAGATTAGAATGTTATTTAGCAATGCAGAAGAAAAGAAAATCTAAGGCTTACATTTTGCATAAGACTCAAACTAAATAAAAATCATCCCAAGGAATGACACCATAATCCAAAATGTCAAATGAACCAAAGATCATTATTTATTTTTATTATGTTCAATTGGAGAATGCATATCTTGTTCTATATGCTTTTTTTTTTCTTTTTGAAATAGTAATGTAATTGTATTGTAGTTAAAAAGAAACTAAAGTAATGTATTCTCTTGTTTAACTAGGTTCAATACATTTGGAGCTAGGCTGTATAATAATAAGCACAACCCTGACAAGGTATAAAGCTATTCAAGAGTAATTCCATGAAATCCTTTTTTAGAGATCCATGAGTTTAATATGCCTACTAGCCTTCTCAGAACAATTTCAACTATGATGGACCAATTCTAAAAATTCCCTCAACTCAATTACCTCCATATAAGTCAAATGATGACTATGGATGATCAGGTACCGATCTAAGAGTGGCCTGAGGTGCCATTGCTTGGTGTAAAGGTAAAATTTCAGGCTGACAAGTGTGAAGATCCGGGTTCAAGTCTGAGAGTGACCACTTTATGCAAAAGAATGCCAAAGGTTAGGTCAGTATCCAGTCAACTCCTCTCAAGACCCCAAAGCTGGGGGTGAGATTGTTACGGATGCGTTCATAGGGAGGACGTACAGCCGCCGACAGCAGCAGTGAGGAGGGGCCCACAAGGGGCCCACAAAGGCGGCAGCTTATCTTGGCTCATCTTATCTTATTCTTAGTAGTTTTCCTTATCTTCTAGAGTTTGATTTACCTATTAGAAGTAGGAGTCTGTTGATCCTAAAAGTGTGAATTATCCTTATCTGTGAGTATTCGAATTCTACTGGGAGTCTTCCCACACCTCTTGTAATCTCCTATTTAAGGAGCTGCAAATTGAGAATAAAGCATTCAGTTTTCAGTCAAGAAAGAGTAGGAGAGTTAGGGTGAACTCTTGAACAAATCACCCTCAGTTCACCACCATAGGGTCTGTGTGCAAAGGGAGGGGCAAGGGGAAGCTAGGAGTTCTCCCCGTGGACCGACCCATGACAAGATCCTACGCTAGGGCCCATAACATTTTGGTATCAGAGCCAAACGTCATGGGCGACATGGAGCAGCTGTCCTTCAGGGTCCACGATTTGGAACACCGACTCGTGGAGAACCACGCAGAAGTAAGAGAAGTCAAGGAAGATGTCAGGGAGCTTCGTCGCCTACTCGAGTTATACTTCTCCACCAGGGAGAGGAGCCCTGAAGGGGCGACCACCAGCAACAGCCGCCGCCCAGAATTGGCGGAGGAATCCGGTGAACGATCGATCGCCACCCCAACAGCACCGGTCATACCCAAGTACAGTCGACTGGAGTTTCCCTCATATAGCAGCAGCAGCAGCGGCGACCCACTGGGATGGTTGTACCGCTGCGAGCAATTTTTCCGGAATCAGTGCACGGAGGAGAAAGATAAAGTCAGCCTGGCCGCATTCCATATGACAGACGAAGCACAACTCTGGTTCTACCGAGTAGAGCAGGAGGAACCAGGTCTCAGTTGGGATCAGTTCAAGTCCTACTGCCTCCTACGGTTCGGACCTCCATTAACAAGCTATCCATTGGGAGAGTTGATTAACCTCAAACAGACCGGGACTGTAGTCGAGTACCAGCGACAATTTCAGACTCTTCTCGCTAGAGCCTCTTCGGTGCGCCCAGACCAGCAGGTGGATATGTTCACCGCTGGGTTAGCCGAACCTCTGAGAGTCGATGTAGAGATGCAGAGCCCTCCCAACCTGGTCACTGCGATGAACTTAGCCCGCGCCTTCGAGCGCAAGCTACAGATCAGCCGAGGGTCCTTCAGCATGGGGTGTCCAACGACTTCTTGGGCAAATCCGAAATCAACTGGAGGAGGGTCTTCGTTGACAGCTAGCAGGGAACAACGACTCCACCCAGGCAACACTTCCAGACCGGCGCCCAGCATAGGAAGCAACATGGCAGCACTCCCCGTCAAACGCTTATCGAGAGCTGAGATGGCGGAGCGACGGGCAAGATGTCAATGCATCAATTGCGACGAGCTGTACTCAGCCGGGCATCGATGTAAGCGGCTGTTCTGCCTCCTGGTTGACGAACTGGAGGAAGACGAGGAGGAGCAGACAGCACTAGAACCAGAAATCTCCCTCCACGCCATCACCGGAATACAGAACTCCCAAACCATGCAGCTACGGGCACAAGTGGCAGGGAAACCAGTTTGCATTGTGGTGGACTCGGGAAGCACCCACAATTTTATCAGCAAGGAAGCGGCACTTCAACTAAAACTGCCGGTGGAAGGCAGACCGCGACTTCAAGTAGCCGTCGCAAATGGGGAGAGGGTTCACAGTCCGGTAATCTGCCGGAACATCCAAATTTAGGTTGAATCAGAACCCTTTTTCGCTGATTTATTTGTACTGCCCCTGGACGAGTTCGATATAGTGCTTGGAGTCAAGTGGCTCATCACTCTAAGTTCTATCCTATGGGACTTCAGTGCCCTAACCATGACTTTCAACCTGAATGGGAGGCACGTCACCTGGCAAGGAACCAAGGTAAGGGCGAAGAGACCGCAGGTACATACTCTCCATGGCGACACCATGCACATCGCAGAGATAGAGAGACTTCTCACCGACTTTCCAGACGTGTTTTCCGAACCCAAGGGACTCCCACCCGTCCGGTCGTGTGACCACCGGATTCCTTTAATCCCAGGTTCCGAACCCGTCGTCGTCCGGCCATACCGCTACCCGCACCTGTAAAAAGATGAGATAGAAAGACAATGTGCAGAGATGTTGAAACAAGGAACCATCCGCCCCAGCCACTCACCCTTTTCTTCGCCGGTCTTATTGGTACCGAAATAGGACAACACCTGGAGGTTTTGTGTGGATTACAGGGAACTTAACAACAGAACCGTCAAGGACAAGTTTCCGATTCCCGTGGTAGATGAACTACTAGATGAACTCCACGGATCTCAATACTTCTCAAAACTGGATCTCATATCAGGGTACTTTCAGGTCCGGATGGGCCCTGAGGATGTGGAAAAAACAGCCTTCCGGACGCATCATGGCCACTTTGAATTTCTGGTCATGCCATTTGGCCTCACCAATGCTCCCTCCACATTTTAGTCTTTGATGAACGAGGTATTTCAGCCCCACCTCCGCAAATTCGTCCTAGTATTTTTCGACGACATCCCGGTTTATAGTACATCATGGGTGGAGCACGTTCGTCACCTACGAACTATTCTGGAACTACTGCGCCAACACAAACTCTTTCTAAAGCGCGCCAAGTGTTCCTTTGGGGAACGGTAGGTACTTTATCTGGGACATGTGATCAGCAGAGAAGGTGTTTTGATAGATGGCTCCAAAATCCAAGCAATTCAAGAGTGGCCCAAACCTCAGTTCACCAGGGCCCTCCGCGGGTTCTTGGGACTCACAGGATATTACCGCAAGTTCGTTAAGGATTACGGACTCTTGGCTGCCCCATTGACCAGGATGCTGAAGAAGAACGCATTCCAGTGGGATGAAGCAGCAGACGCCGCCTTCACAACCCTAAGGGATGCACTCTCCTCCACCCTAGTGCTGCGGTTACCAAACTTTGACCTAGAATTTATAGTTGAATGTGATGCTTCCGGTATGGGCATTGGAGCGGTACTACAACAGCAAGGGCACCCCGTAGCCTTCTTTAGCCGCAAATTGGCTGACCGGCACCTAAAGCTACCGGCCTACGAGCGCGATTTGATTGGACTAGCCAAGGCCGTACAACACTGGAGGCCATACTTGTGGGGTAGACCCTTCGTCGTCAAGACAGACCACTACAGTCTCAAGTACCTACTAGAGTAGCGGCTTACCACTCCACCCCAACAGCATTGGGCAAGTAAACTGCTCGGGTTTGACTTCCGGGTAGAACACAAGGCAAGGACCTTAAATCGGGCCGCAGATGCACTGTCCAGGCGTGACGAAGATTCTATACACCTTTGTGCGATCTCCCGGCCTCGCATCACCCTATTGGAATGCATTAGGAGCGTGTTGCCCCAATCACCGGAATGGGGGGACCTGGTTCAAGAGATACAGTCCGGAGCAACCAACCCGAACTGGTCCCTCCATGACGGACTAGTACTATACAAGGGGCGGGTATACCTCCCGACAGATTGTCCATTAATCCCCGCCATCATTTCCAGCATTCATAACGCCACACATGAAGGGGTTCAGAAGACGTTGCACCGCGTCCGCACCGATTTCCATTGGCATGGTATGCGGGCTTCGGTTAGGGATTTCATCCAGAATTGCTCCATGTGTCAACAACAAAAATGGGAGAATTTACACCCAGCAGGCCTCCTCCCACCACTTGCACTCCCAACACAGATCTGGGCTGATATCTCCATGGACTTCATTGAGGGTCTGCCGAAGGTCGGGGGGAAATCAGTTCTATTCGTGGTGGTGGATCGTTTCTCCAAGTATGCTCATTTCATTCCCTTATCCCACCCATACAGCGCAGTTTCGGTTACCCACGTCTTCTTCACACATATTTTCCGCTTACATGGGCTACCCGAATCCATCATCAGTGACAGGGACCCGGTCTTTACCAGCACCTTCTGGAAGGAGCTATTTCGATTACAGGGCACGACACTAGCTTTTTCACCCGCCTACCATCCTCAGATGGACGGACAAACAGAGGTCATAAACCGGACCATAGAGATGTACCTCCGTTGTTTTGTGGGCGACCAGCCACGACGATGGGTGGATTGTCTTCCATGGGCCAAATACTGCTACAACACAGCCTATCACTCCTCCCTTGGCATGACTCCGTTTCGGGTTGTCTATGGTCGGGATCCCCCCCGCCTACTGTTCCTACGAACCCGGTTCGACACGGTTGGAAGAAGTCGACCGTAGTCTACAGGATCGTGATGCCCTCCTGGCTGAAGTCACTCTCCGCTTACAGCAGGCTCAGACACGCATGAAGAATATCTACGACCAGCGCCACAGGGACCTAACCTTCGAGCCGGGACAATTCGTGTGGTTGAAGCTCCAACCCTATCGGCAGCATTCTCTCAAAGGCAAATCTCCCCCTAAATTGGCCCCCAAGTTTTACGGACCCTTCAAGGTGGTACGGCGAATCGGAAAGGTTGCATATCAGCTTGAGCTACCAGAGCACAGCAAACTTCATGATACCTTCCACGTGTCCTTGCTCAAGCCATTTACAGGAACCCCTCCTGATGAGGTACCTCCCCTGCCACCCGTACGAGACGGCAGACCCATTCTACAACCTCGGGCTCTAGTTCGATCCCGCGTCAATCGGGGCACCCTCGAAGCCCTAGTGGAGTGGGACGATCTACCACCAGCTGAGGCCACCTGGATTCCCTGGACTGTTTTGCAAGACGCCCACCCCAATCTCGAGCTTGGGGACAAGCTCGTCGTCCAGGAGGGGTGTAATGTTACGGATGCGTTCATAGGGAGGACGTACAGCCGCCGATAGCAGCAGTGAGGAGGGGCCCACAAAGGCGGCAGCTTATCTTGTCTCATCTTATCTTATTCTTAGTAGTTTTCCTTATCTTCTAGAGTTTGATTTACCTATTAGAAGTAGGAGTCTGTTGATCCTAAAAGTGTGAATTAAAGCATTCAGTTTTCAGTCAAGAAAGAGTAGGAGAGTTAGGGTGATCTCTTGAACAAATCACCCTCAGTTCACCACCATAGGGTCTGCGCGCAAAGGGAGGGGCAAGGGGAAGCTAGGAGTTCTCCCCGTGGACCGACCCGTGACAAGATCCTATGCTAGGGCCCATAACAGAGATTGGGTAATAGCCTTTTTATTTCTAAATTGTAACTGGTTGATTGAAATATGTACCTTTGGGACTAGAAAGGCTCAATCATCCTTTAAAAGAGGCCATATCTTTGACATCCAAACTGAATGTTGATTTTGAGGTCCACTAACTCAATGGCAAATAAGCTTGTTGGAGTGGACATGGGTAGGAATAATTTGTACTCAGATATACCTTTCCAACAGAAAGTAGTTTTGTATTTTCATATAATTGACACCCTTATAAATAGGGTACCTTGAGGCTCTATGATTGACATTTTTCTCTTTGTTTTCTTCTTTTTGTTGGTAGAGCATATAGACTTGGTGTCCCATTTTCACCCTTTTATGCATTTCACTTAGCTAACGATAAAAGAACAGTTGATTAGATTTTAAAAAATAATCTTGGGACAGATTTTAAAAGAATTGGGGAATTTTTGTATTGGCATGTGCACGAGCTAGGAAAACCCCAGGTTATGAATTGGTAGGACTAATTACCGGTTATCAAAGTTTATATCAAGGCCCTCCAAGATGAAAAATAGACAATAATAGGCCTAATTTTGTAATGTTGTGATGATGTTAAGACTAAATTAAAGCTTCAAAACAGGATTGATGGGGTGAAGCTAAATCGCATGAGCCAATCAACTAATGCCTTTCATTTACTTATTCAGTTATTCCTATACAAGTAGTTTGGGTATTTATTTATCTACCTTTCACTTATGTCACTTGTATTTATGTAGTTGGGGAATATTTTCTGGATTTTAGTTTAAGCTAAGTTATAGGGCTACCCCATATATAATTGCTTTATATTCCAAAAAGCATAGCAGATTTAGAGAAACCAAGAGCAAGTTGAGGTTTCACTTGAAGGAATGGAGAATTTCTTTATCCAGGAGTGAATCGTAGAACTCTACCAAAAGGACAGGTTACTACTCCTTTGTCACACATGGCATTCACAATTGGTTGAATCAATATGGTATAAACTGAAGGACATATAATTGCCTCATAAAAGTTTGGCATACAGGCATTGAACTTATGTTGTCCTATACATACCTACAAATGAATCATCTTTCTTTCCATATTGGCTAGATTTCTAGAGCTTGGATAACTAGTGGTGGAACTGATTCTCATAGTAGTGTGGGTTGGTTAAAAAAGAATAGTAGCATGGAATCTTAGAAAGAATTATAGACACATAATGACAGAGATTGAACAGCTGGCTATAGGTTAGAGAACAACTTATAGTTGGGTTCCAAGACCTGCTAATAATGACAAGGAGTCAATAGGGGGACCAATTGTATCAGGGACTTGTAAATAGTATTTGTGAGTTGAGCAAGCAAGGGCAAAGCCTTATGTTGGGACACTTGGGATAACACTGTTGTATACATCAACCTTTTATATATAATTAATAAAACATTCCCCATTGCAGATACATGCAAATTGAGTGTAAAATTCCCCATCTATTTAAAGATGGCATGCTATTATGACATTGATGTCATTATTATGGAGGATGAGGTTGATGCTTGTATCTTCTCATCCTGATATTATTGCAAAAATGCCAAATTCTCATTTCTAACATCCACTTGTTCTTTGCATATGGTATTAGCTCATTTCAATTTCTTTTCAAGTAATGGCTAATGGAGTTGGATTCAACTCTAGCTCAGAAACAAATTGTGTAAGTTCTAAGTCATTAACTAGTGAGAAAGGGAATACTATTGATTTATTCTAATTTCTTATGTTTTTTGTATGATTCAAGTTGAACAAGGATCAAATGTAGAATTGCCTTTTTGGCTAGCCTATTAGTTGCACCAGAGACAAGCAGTATCAATTAATGTGCCCGCCTGTTTTAATCAAAAGTAAAGGTCATGGTACCTCATGTTGAAGGCTTTGCATAAGATATAAAAGTTTACTTATATCAAGGCCAGATGGTGGGATGCCTACGGCCTACCATGCTTACATTCAGCTAGGCACATGGCACATTTCTAACAATGATTGGAGCACACTTTTGGGTGCATCCAACTTAAAAATCTCCTAAGCTGAATCTTCACCCATGTGCTATAGCCTCCTGACTTTTAGACTTGCCTTTAGGCTACTATTCACCATGGTTTCTGATCATTCAAAAGAAGGAAAGATTACTTGAAGTTACAATCCTGATTAAATGAATTTGTTCAATATAGGTAATCTTCTTGGTTGAAACTCTCAATTGGTTGGGTCATAAAACCCCTTATAGTTATGACCTGCATGTATCTTATAAGATATTGACATTTTTCTTCCCAATGCTGATGCCTGTTTCCAGGACACTAACCTTAGTTTGGCAGTCGATGTTAGTTCAGTCTCTTAATTAAGCATTTTTTTCTCCTTAGAAATGTTTTGCTCTTAACATGGCTGGAGAAATTTTAGTTGGTTTCTCTTATTCTTTAATTGGGTTTCATTAATGTTGGTTTTTTACAAATCTGTTTTGCAGGCATCTTCACATTTGCAAGGATGGTTTTATTTTTGGTAACAGTAGAGGCAACCTAGGTGCTGCTAGTGATATTAATAACATTTGTTTGTTTTTTTAATTGAATGTGCCTATTGTTTTGATTTCCAAGCAATGGCTTTGGGATTGCAGTTAACAAGCACTTTCTGGTTCTACAAGATTCTGGGCTGGCGAAACACAGACTGATTAAAGGAGTTTATGTTTCTACTAAGCAACCTATTGAAATCAGAAGTGTAACATCCATAATACAACACTTGCTTGTACAAAAATGATTCTATTAGCCATAACTATTATTTAATTCTAAATAGAAATCAAACTTATTATCCTTGATATTTTTGTCTTGGAGTCCATCTTTGATACATGTAATACAAGTAGGGAGAAATGATCAGCAAGATTCAATGTGAAATGTCAAGTGTTTGTTGGAGTGCATCTTGCCTACTATGGAATAAATGTCAATTGCATCTATAAAGAAAAACCAAATTGATTCATGTTTCATAAGTTAAAATGCAAGAAGGATACCCCTTCATTCTTTAGAACCCCAATGGTACAGTTCCATGCATTCCTTTACTTCGTGTATTTCAGTATTGTGCTTATGAAGCTTCACTTGGCATATATGTATGTAATTCATGAGACACACAAGGTACCAGAATAAATAATAAAAAAATTATCCACCAAAAAAGCGGCACGAAAAATTCAAAAAACTACCGCCAGAGACTGTCACTAAAGATTGGTTTCAAAGTGATAGTTTTCTTTAGCGGCAGTCAGGACATCTCTTTAGTGGCAGTCGCGACTGCTGCTAAAAGTTTTGTTTCTAGCAGTAGTTTTTGAGTTTTACCGGCAGTCGTTAAAACTACCAGTAGAACTTTTTTGCGACAATCATTTTAGTGGAAGTTTGCCAACTGCCAGTAAAAGCTTTACCGACAGTTTTGAGTACTTTTAGCAACAGTTTTTGACTGCTGCTAAAAGTCATTTTTCTTGTAGTGATACGGTAGCATGTCCTACCAAGACTTGTAGGTAAGAGACATTTCCTTCAAAATTTTTTCAATGTTCTTATTTGCAGCCTCTACTACTCCATTCATCTTTGATCGATAAGGGAATGAATGCAATTACTTAATCTTGAATTGATTGCAAATAATTGTAACTTCCGTTCTAGTGAAAAATTTTCCATTATTTGAGATTATCTCACAATTATGTTGTTCTTGATGAATTGGACTATTTTGGCCATTGTTAAGTGTGTTATGGACATTGCTTTTACCCACTTAATGAAATAATCAATGGCAACCAAGATGAACTTGTGCCCATTTGTCGTAGGTTGCAATGGACCGACCATGTCAATTCCCTATATTCAAAAAGGCCAAAGGTGTAATGAAACAATATAACTCTAAGGGAAGTGCATTTATCCTTCGATCAAATACTTGACAAGGATGTCACTTCTGAATATGTCAACAACACTCCTCATCCATCATCATCCAAAATAATCCCATTCAAAGCAACTTTTTAGGCAACATAGGCCCACTAATGTGGGAACCACATATGACGGCGTGTACTTCCTTCATCTTCCTTTGCACTTTTTCTTCATCTAAATATCTCAACCAGGGTAGTCCTAAGAATATGGTAAACTTCCCTACTAACGTTGTTATAGCTCTTCTTACCTTAAGGTTCACTCCCTAAGGGAACGTTTGATGTTACAAGAAAATTTTGATGTCATACAACCACAGTTTACCATTCAACTCTCCATCTTATGTAGTGATTTCAAGTATGCTATTCACGTAGGTAAGTTCACTATCCCGACTTAGATTGATTGGTTCTACTGCCAGATTAGGAGGTAAATGCGTTGCTAACCCATTGGTGGTTAAAGCATATGAAAATTGATTACCTTCTCTAGGCAGGTAATTAAAGGATATGTAATTGAACTTCTTGATTAAATCCCTAAAACAATGGTTTATTCTAATAGTGGAGGAGACCAAAGTGTTACAATGTGAGTGAACTGTTCCGCCCCTGCTTAGTAGTGACCTGCTCTACCTTTGTTTTCATCCAAAATGGTGAAGTAGCATAAAGAAACATGAAGAAGAGAAAAAACATGTGAAGGAAGAGGGATACAAAGAGTGAATGTAAGTTACCTGTTTTTCTCCTACTTTGTGGTTAGCTGTTTTGTTATTGATTTGTTATCTAGAAAATTGAGTGATGATGGGAAGAAACAAAAGTATGGAAGAACGATGAGGAATAGAGAGGACGCTTGGCCCTAATTTCCAAAAAGGACAATGAGAATAAACAGAGAGGGACAATGTGAAGAAACAGAGCAAATTCATTTGTAGGGTTAAAATGATCTTTATCATCCAAATTTGTTTTGAAGATAGGCAATGGGGTTAGTTTCCAATGATAGAGAGAAATTAAGATAAAAAAAGCATGATTGGCCATGCTTTCCCATTACATCACGATTTACAATCAGGGATGGTTTTGTTTCTAATTACTTGGGCGAAAAAGAGAGAGAATGACATGCTGAGTTAGGCAGAAAAGAAAGACTTAGAAAGGAAATAATGGAGACCCTCTAGAATTGCAGGGTTAGGGTAGGGTAAAGGGAGAGGCCATCTGATGTGGCCATATTTCTTTTAATATATATGATAATTTTTGCATGGATGATAATATGTGAATGATTTATGAGTAAACATGTGTCCACAAGTTGACTCACGTTCGAATTCATAACTTTTTTTTTTTTTTTTTCATTTGTCTACTGTTAAATAGATGAACGGAAAGCTTTAGTCATTTGGTTGAAATAAATATGTCGACATTCATCACAATCATACACGTTACGTTAATATAAAAAACGACCCAATCCAACCTATACTCTTGCAACAAGCAACTCGCATTCAAATTTGATCCAAAAATCATGGGATTTGTCGTTATTGAGAAAAATAAAAAGTTAAATAAGAATATTTTAGTTATGTTGTATAATATTAATGCTTTTAAAGGGTGATTTTAAAATTAAGTTCATATATTAAGTTAAAAGATTATTTTAAAATCTAGATGACTATTCATCTTTCCACAGTTTATACTTGAGCATTGTTTGGTGACAAATGTTTGTTTTTCATCCAACCATCACCACATTAGTAGTCACAGTGTTGATACTTTGCTTCCCATAGTATGAAATATAAAATTCATGTTTTTTGAAAATACCCCCATCAAGATTTTCATGAAAATGTTTTATGATTGCGTTGTGTTGTAGAGAATACATTAAAAAAGGCTATATTTGGTTAATAGGTAATGGATGGGACATTGATGCATTGAGAGATCCTTGGTTACCACATGGTCGCCTCCTTATTATTCAACATTGGCCTTCTCGTCCTATGAAAGTAGCAGAGCAGATTGATTAGTCAACAATGACTTGGCGAGAAGATCTATTAATATCTATTTATGATTCAACTACTACTGCCTCTATCCTCTCTATCACACTTCCAGTTGCTGCTAATGTAATGAATGGCCAAGCCAGCACATCTACTTCACACCACATTGCAGGTCAAGTACCATGGGAAGAAGTTCTGGAGTCTTAACACCATGAGCCCTAAACTTTTGTTTTTCATCTAGCGTATATTACAAGATGTTCTTGCAATTAGAACTAGACTCAGTAAGGTTTTGCGGCATATTGATAATTTATCTCCATTCTGTGAGCAATCAGAGGAGGCTAAGGAACATTTATTCCTCCATTGTCCAACTACTCGCTTAGTGTGGTTTGGGTTAGACCTCATTTTCAAACCTGACTCCTATCCCCAACGAAGTGTTAATGAATGGATTTCTCGACACCAGGGCTCTAATGAGAACCACCTCCCTCTTTGCACCAAATTCTTCATTATATTATGGAACATATGACTTGCCCATAATGCTCTCATCTTTCAAAATCAAGTTTTGGAGATCTAACATTATTCTCCATAAAGCTTACACCCAATGAATGCTACTTAATGAAGCTACTTCCCAAATCTACACTCCTCAAGCATCTCATGTTGCTGCTATGACTCATATTCAACAATCTCATTGGACTCCACCCGTTGGCTATGTCAAAATAAACTTTGATGGAGAAACTTCATCTAATACTTCAAGGGCTGGTATTGTGATACAGGAACCAAATGGTGCTTTTCTATTTGCTTGTGCTATTCCCTTGGAAGCTTCTTTAGCTTGGCTTACTAAAACTACAGCTCTTTGGGAAAGCATCAATTTTGCCATTTCATTGGGCTTAACCTCCGTAATTTTTGAAGGTGATGTGAAATCTACTATTCATCTCTTGTTGGAGGATTCATCTACACCTCCATGGAGTATCCACACTCTCATTATAAATTTCAAGAGATATCTTCTTCACCTCCCCTCATACTTAGTTACTTTTGTTCCTCGATCTTGTAATCGAGTTGCACATCATCTTGCCAAGCATGCTCTTTCCTGTTCTTCTTGTATAATTTGGTCTCTACCTCTTAGTTTCCTGATTCCTAATTTGGAATTTAATGTAACTGAGTAATTTGTTGAATGGATTTGCCTAAAGGTGCTCTCAAAAAAAAAAAAAAACATTCTCAACCAAATAGAAAAATTGATTGTTGGGCTCAGAACATCGATACATTTATACTTGAAACACCACTTACTGAAGAGAGAAACCTATATAGTGAAAGACAATTCACATATTAAGATAACATTTTAACCATTCTCCTGAGAGTTTTTCTCTTTGTAAAAATTTAAAGCAAAGAATATATATATATATAAGATGTTGTTTGGTTGCACATAAATGAAGCAAAACAAATTATTTCCTTGACATTAATAGTGAATGGGGAAGTGTTTTGTTTAATGTGGAAAACAAACTTGATTTTGGAGATCTTTCTATAATTAATATTCACTTTTTGAAAGTGTTCATTTGCATAACTATTTTATGTGTAACCAAAACAACATAATAATAGCAATTTTCAAGAAATTATTCAATTTCTCTTCATTTCACATGCAACCAAATTGAATTATAGTTGTCATTGGATTGCAAAATCCAAACCAATCTTTAGCCTTGGTGTTGTTTAAGCATTTTAGGGCATGGTTGGGATTGTTGTGTAGCATGCCCATTTCTCTGCAATGAAGACATCACACAAACAATTAAACATTACCAAACCATGATCCTATGTTGGTTAGTTTGATCAAGTACAAAATGAGTTGTGCTACCTCTTGTCTTGGGTTATGTGAAACCCATTTTCAGAGGAGAAAGCATTGACGTTTCTTGCTCAAGGGAGCCGTTTTCATCTATATGATGCCTAATGGTGCTTATGTGTAATAAAAAGCAATATACAAAATTTGAATTGAACATTGTGTACAACCTGTTTCTTTCTCGATTTCTAATACATAAATCAGATACAACTAAACACCCATACAACCCCAAAATACCAAACACCTACTTAGTGGTTATCTACCATTGCATTTAAGCATGATTATTTATACAACAATGCCTATTTCTTCATTTTTGGTTAATCGCGTTTGATATATACTTATTTTCTTTATGCAGTCAAACTATTTTACTTTTTACTAATAATGTTGCAATTAGAATATGGCCACTCAAAGAACTAGTTTGCTTTTTCATTTATTACACCACTCTTTTATCCTCCTATATAATGCATTAATGCTGTTGGATACCTATAGGGCATACCCGAATCACCTGATCTCGAATATACCCAACTAAATCTTAGTCCAATTCCAAAAAATCTTTAGGTCTTTATCCAATCAAATTTTGGACCCGAATGAATATAACAAGTAAAATCCATGTTTGATCGATTTTAACGTAACCTAAACACTATCCAACCCTTCTAAGTAGGAAGGAATGATCATGACCCTGGCTAAGTTGATTTTAAGTTGTTTTGGGCTGGCTCAGTCTAATGTTGGGCCTAATAATAATATATGCCTTGGCCTAGTTTATGTGGGTTGGGCCAGGCATCTTAGCTTATTCACATACCTTGATGAAATTAATAAATTTATCTTTAAACTTAAAAATCAAACCTGTGCTTGTATCCAAAAGCGCAAACAAAATTACATACAAAGCTTTATTGTAGATATATCGTCGTCATCATCATCATCATCATCATTATCATCATTCAAGCATTATTCTATTTAATGCCATATTCACTAAACAACTCAAACCCACTAAAAGCTATGGATAAAGTGAAGGCTTGCTCGGGGCGGAATGGGGAAGTTTGGGGTTGGAAATCCATTAAAATTTAATTAGGCCAAACCCAAAAGCCTAGGCCCAAATCAGTGTAAATTCTTCAAATCCAGTATAACTTTCCAACCCATCTGCCAACTAAATGGCATGTAAATAATGATTAGTGACCTTTCATAGGTTTGAGTATGAAACCATCTAAGTTAAAGAATAGCAAAGCACTCACTAATAGGGACATTTTGTAAAACAATATAGAACTTTGATCAAACCCCTTATGTTGTTCCCCATCTAGGGGTGTCAATGGATAGTTTTTGGTGTTGGACCCTATCCAAATTGAAACCAATTTTGGGGGATTGGACGGACTCCTAAGATATATTGAATTGGACCAGTCAAGACTTAATGGTTCAAAGTTTTTATTGGATTGGATTGGACATGGTTTTTCCTAATGGATTGATATTGGATTGAGTTAGATTGAACCAATATCCAATCCGTTGAAAGAAGATAAGAATAAAAGTGTTAATGGACCAAGTTTTGATTAGAACAAATCTAAGGTGGTGTTTGGCGCATCTTTTTAGTGTGTCTTTTGGTCTGTAGAAAGATCAAAAAGTGGTCTTTTCCATTTGGTATCATGTAGACCAAAATACCTGAAGTGTATGCAGAAAAAGACTAAACAAACTAATAATTGGAAGATTCAAAAAGACTAAACAGCTGGATAGACCATGATACAAACCAAATGGTCTTGGTCTTTAAAGACAAGACACCAAAAGATCAATGTGTTTTCTTGTCTATTGGGTTGTTGAAAGATTTACCTAGAAAGACTTGTCAAACAACCCCTAAATTAAAAGCAAATTGAACAGATTGGATAGTCCAAGCGTTGAATTGGACTAGTCCAAAATGGTCCAAAGTATTCATCGGTTTGGATTTACCTAATCCATTTCTAATTGACTCATATTGGATTAGATTAAAATGGATAAAATCTAGTCCAACTGACACCCCTACCCATCTACATCAAATTCATCCAACTCAAGTTGACAGAATCCATTAGGTTATGTAGTAGGGTTGGATTCGAGCTGAGCTGAGCCAAATATTTTGCTTCGAGTTTGGCTCACCATAAAACTATGTGGCTTGAGCTTGAGTTTGGCTCGACTCAAAAGCTCATAAATTTGATCTCGACTGTGAGCCAAACTCCTTATAAATAAATAAATATATATATATAATTATTTTTTATTATACATATAAAAATCAAGAATTATAAACACTAATTATTATGCACATAAAAAAAATATTATTTATTTATATATAAATATTATAAAAATATTATTATGCATATAAAACTAGTTTATATATATACTCAGATTTAGTCGTTACAAAACCATGCACGCACTGTCCTCATAGCCACTTGTAGTTGTGCATTGGGAGTATCTCCCATTAGAGAACATGCATAGGGCTCGAGCTTGTCTTGAATCTCGATTTAGACCAAGCTGAATCAAAATTTTCACGAGTTCAAATAAAGCTTGGTTCATGTTCACCCCTAAATTGCATTCCTACACTATTGTTGAAGATTTGATGAATCATTGGTATATATATATATATATGCCTAGAAATATTGGGCTAGGTTTAAAATTTTGGCCCCATACCTAGGCTAGGTTTCAATACAAAACCTTAATTTTTTTTGGTATTTGGTGATGCGCACCACACTTCCTGAACGCTAAGGTTGCAATCGAATTGAGCTCTAATTGAATAGTTCGGACCCGAATTTGATTAGGCTCGATTCAAGTTCAATTTTAGTAAGCTCAAATTGAGTTCAAACCTTGGGGTAAGCTTGATTAGTTATTCGAGCTTGAGCTCGACCAATAAAAAGTTTGGCTCGATTAACAAATGCATACATACTTATACATATGCACATATTATTTAATATAAAAATATACTTTTATATTATATATATATATACACACACTCAACACACACACACAATAGGTACCCTGTACTTTGGGGTACTCAAGTGTATTTTTATATTTTTATTATTAGAGAATATCATCACCAAAAATTTTAAATATGTTATTTTGTTGTCTGTGCGAGAACGTCATCATGAGAATGATTAATTTCATAAATACATGGGAAGGGTATTTTTTGCATTCTATAATGTTTAACTGACAGAATACTAATGAATGGACCTAAGTGTCTATTTTTAAGAGTTTAGGGTACTCAAGTGTTGCGATTGAAAGTTCAAGGTACCTATCTATCACTACCCCAAAGTATAGGGTACAACTATATTTATTTTTGTGCTTTCAAGGCGAACTTGAGTTCATTGAATATTTAATCGAATTGATCTCAAGCAAAAAAATATAGTTCAAGTCAAACTCGAATCTAATAGTATTTTAGTCAAGCCAAGCCTAGGCATACCAAAGTTCTACTCGGTTACACCCCTATTGAACGCAATAGCTATTCAGCGGGCCGTGGAACAAATGGTAATATTCTACTCCATGGAACTGATGGGCCCACTATGAAAAGGTGTGGGTCCCATTATTTTGTTATTAGTATTAAAAATTATGGAAAATTCCACTGTAGTATCTTGAACTTTGGGGCTAGTGTCAAGTTAGTACTCAAACTTTCAAATGTGTCACTACAATACCTAAACTTTCAAAAAGTGTCAACTTGGTCTTTGTCGTTAACCGACCGTCAATTATCTATTGAAAACATCAAAACTACCCCTTCAAAATAAGACACTATTCATTGTCTTCTACATTGAGTGAACCGGTTATGAAATATGATAGAGGGAAACAATAACTGAAAGCAAAGAAATAACTAGACAATAATAATGTGTTTCAGATCTAAAGGTAGAAGACAATAGCTTCATTAGTCTAGTATCTCAAACACCTAAACCGGTTGGGTCTCAAGGTAGAAAACAATGAACAATTTCTTCTTTTGAAGAGTAGTTTTGACATTTTCAACAGATAGCCGACGATTGATTAACGAGAAAGATCAACTTGACACTTTTTGAGAGTTTAAATACTGCAGTGACACATTTGAAAACTCCCATACTAATTTGATACTACCTCAAAAGTTCAGGATAGTAAAGCGAAAATTTTCCAAAAAATTCTTATTGCTTCCATAAAAATCGGATTTAATCCTCACACCATTCTCACGGCCTTTTCGGCCGTGGATCGAAACCACACAAATATTCCCAATGCACGGCTGAAAAGGGCTGTGAAAACGGTAAGAGCACAATTTTGTAAGTACAGAATCCATCATCGGTTCCGCCCGTTGAACAACCATCGCGTTCAGCTAATCTCCACACTAATGACCCCTGCCTTCCCCAGAGTCGGCTAACATACCAACTGATCCACCTAGGAACTAAGACCCAGAGGGCCCCTCCTTTCTCTTCCGCTGCAACAGAGCCCTCCGTTCTTTGTAAAATTCCATTTCACCCTCCGAATTCGGGAGGCAAGCAAGCGGTGGCGGGAGAGAATGGCGAATAACGGAGAGATATTACTGCTAGAAGCACCTCCTGAAGCGTCCCGGCCGGCCTGGCCCGGCGTTTCGAAAGAAGAAATCATCGACGCACTTCCTTACATTGACGATGACTACGACGCCATGAAGAAAGAAGTCAACAGGTTGGTCGAAGAAGAGATGCGACGGAGCACCAAGAAGCCAGCTGATTTCCTCAAAGATCTCCCTTCCGTTCCCATGTTGAACTTCGAGGTGACTGCTTCTCTCATGCTCTATATTAGGGCTCATTACAGTCCTTCATTTTATTTGTTTTCGAATTTTTGAAGAGATGCTTGCTAGGAATTTAGGGTTTATTAGTGTATTGCCATTTTGGTTATGTCTTTGATTATTCCGGATGCTTTGTGGATAGTGTGGTTTCTGAAGTTACATAAAGAAACAGTTCAAGAAAGAGAAAAACTTAACGTTCCTTAGGTTAGACCTTGTTTACATGGTTTGTGAGACTAGCTTTACTTGAGAAATCGGGTCATGATCTTTGTGCGATCTAAGACTTCTCAGATTAACCTAATCATCAAGTAATGGAAATGCTGAGGATTCTATGGCCATATTAGTATAGTTTCCCCAAATAATTGGGATTGAGACTGATCTGAGTTGAGATTGAGGATTCATCTTAAGAAACTGATAGCATGCATTGATAAAATTTGGTGGAAATAAATGATCCGTTGTCAATGAAATGACTTTTGTGGCAATGGCATATACAACCTGAAGGCTCAGCATTATTTGCTCCTTTTCAACTCTTAATGATCTTTTAATTTTCTTTTATATCTTCTCCTCGAACATCATATCTCACTTTAACTACAATTTTTTATTTTTTATTTTTATTTTTTAAATGAAAGGTAGAAAATAGTATAGAATTTTTGGGATGGGTTTCATATTCAATTCTGATTGGTTTGAATGATTTTGTATGAGAAGAAAAGGGTACACTATAGGCCACATGCTGTCTAATCTTGGCCACATGCTGTCTAATCTTGGAAATTACATCTTGGCCACATGCTGTCTAATCTTGGAAATTACATCTTGGCCACATGCTGTCTAATTAAGAATAGCTGACATTAATGAAATATCTACTAAGTGAAACAATACATTGGCCACATGCTGTCTAATCTTGGAAATTACATCTCAGAATCACCCTATGCTTGCTAGAGAATATGAACGTGTTAGAGCTGCCAAGCCTCCTGCAACCCTAGAGATGTCTCGTTATGGACTAGAGCCACCTCCTGTAAATAAACGCAATGATGTTGAAGCTTGGAAACCTGTTGTTGGAAATGCTCGAGGTTTGCTGCAACACCAAATACTGAGGTATCTACTTTGATGGTTTAGCTGATTTGGTGGTTTCGATGTTTTTAGGAGGAATATATTTAAAGTTGGCATCTGTGACAAACTTTGCTTTGGTAGATATTACATATTCATTGGGCCATTACCCAATGTTGGTCATGGCTATCCAAGAGCAAGAGAGAACGATCAGAATCACAAAACTAAACTTTTATTCATTAAACTTTTACTACCTCTTTCTCTCACAGGCACACACACATCTTGGCAAATTCTTCTCTCTTATCTTTGTGTATTCTACTTATTAAAAAAAGCATGCTTGTGCTGCATACCTCTGGAAAGTTGATTGCTTTGTGTCATGCTTTGGCATCTGAAAACACTTGTTCTAGCTATGATAGCAATAACCTACTCCAAAACTTCCATCCAAACTTGTCAATCAAACTAATTCATACTCTTCTGCATTGATGGTACTAAAAATTGAGGATAAGGGACAAAGAGAAGGATAATTTCTGTATCAGGTACTAACACAATCTTATGATATTTATTTTTTGATCAAAATCTTATCATCTTTATCTTATTCAACAGTAAAACATCTCTCCCAGAAGTATTACTAATTTGCATTGAGAAACCACCTGGCCCACCTGCGTCTAGTAGCCTAGGTGGTTTCTCAAGAGGAAGGTGACCAAGAAGGGCTCCCTTCCTCCTTTAACTCCCTTTTTTTTCCTTCTTCCTCCATTCCTGTTTGCATGTTTAACCCTGTGTTCTCTTGCCTTCCTTTTTTTGTGTGTGTAGATCCAGTTCTAGGCCAGATGGCTATGAATGTTGAGAACCCTTGTGCCTTTACACTTGAAGAGGAGAATAGGAAAATTGAAGCAGAAGGTGAGTCTAGTGGCCTAGGAGGGGGAAGCATTAGAACCAGGAAAAGGAGACATGGTGACCCAAAGGGAGAATGTCATGTCTGTACCTCCGTTTTTGAAGGGAGGCAATACAAAAAATTCAGCCCCAGTTTTTGAAGGGAATAAAATACAAAGTGGGAAATGGTAGGAGGGTTCTCTTTTGGAAGGATAACTGGTGTGAAGAGGGCCCTTCAATGAATGCATTTCCGGACCTGTTTGAAATCACCACAAACAAAAAATGCAACCATTGCTGACTGTTTGGAAAGACAGAATGGCCATTTCACTTGGAACCCCCAGTTCAGGAGAAATTTAAATGATTGGGAGGTGGCATCCCTAATCAGATTGCTCCAGCTTCTGTATGACTCAAACATACCTGCAATAGGGGAAGATAAAAGAGTGTGGAGCTTTGAGAAATCAGGTGTGTTCTCTGTGAACTCTTTTTTTTTAAAGTTGTATGAAAGGAGGAAGACATCTTTTTTCCGTGCCAAAGAATATGGATTAGAGCTGTGCCTTCAAAGATAGCCTTTTTTGTTTGCTTGGCAGTGCTGGATAAGATTCTAACCAAAGAGAATTTAGTCAAAAGAGGGTTAGAAGTTGTAGACATGGCATGTCCCCTATGTATTGGGAATGTGGAGTTCTCTAGCCATCTGCTGTTACATTGTGGATTTACTCACTGGGTGTGGTTAAGAGTGGTGGAATTATTTGGTGCAAAGCTGAAACTAAGGGGACTCATAGAGGCTTGGTGGCTGGGAGGTCTAAGTAAGGCTGGAAAGGTGGCATGGAGCATTATTGCCGCAGCTGTTTTGTGGGCTGCGTGGAGTGAAAGAAATAACAGATTATTTGAAGGAACTCAGAACTCAAAAGAAGATGTTCTGAGGAAAATTCTGGGGATGATCCACTCATGGCTGGCAATACACCCGATGTTTGGAAGACATCCAAGTGTCTTTTTTGAGTTTAATTTTTTTGTTTGTAAGGAGTGGATAGTTTTGTTTTTTGTTTGGTGGGATTGAGGCTGTAATAGGCTGTTTTTGGGTTATTTTGTATATCCTCGTTCATTTCTCTTTGTACAGGGGTTTTCCGTAGTTGATTTTTTTCTTAGGCTATGCTTGGTTTGAAGGAAAAGGTAGGGAAAGGAAGGTAAAGACAGGGGAACCTATACAAGGTTTGCAAAGGTTTCCCTACCTTTCCCTTCCTTTCCCTGCATTTTCCTTCAAACCAAACATAGCCTTAATGAATCACTTACTTTAAAGTAATATTTATGGTCTAGGAAACTAAACTTTCAAAGATAGATAGCATGTGGATTAGAAGCATTTGGGGAATTAGAGGCCTAAGCTTGGGTTTTGCACCTTCTTGGTGAACCTTGGAGGAAATACTCACCGTATGGAAAAATGGGGAGATGGAGTGCTTGGAGGAGCTCATTGGAAACTACTCAGTCTCAATCAAAAGTAAAAGTGCAAATGATGGGACGGACTGGTTTTGACAAATGTGTACGGTCTAAATTCTTATAGAGAAACCAGTTTTGGGAAGAGTTGAGTGCAATAAGAGGATTGTGGTAGGCATAGTTTTCAAGGTGCCAAGGTGAGGCTAGGTGATAGGGGGCACCTTGTCGCCTAGTCACCTAGGTGGGCACCTAGGGGACGCCTAGGCGATGGATTTTTTTAAGTAAAACCATATATCCTAGGGTAGTTCCCTAGTTTCCATAACCATCTTTCCTTAATAATTATCCATAATTTTCATAAGAGAAGTATAAGTTTCATGTTTAAGTCTTGAAAAATCAACATTTTATGAGAAGAAAAAGAAGAAAGGAAAGAACATTAAAAAAGTATAGGGGCTGGACCCCTACTTTTGTTATAGGAAAAGAAAAGAAAAGGTGGAAAAAGAAAATGTGTTGATAGAGAAGTTTGATATGATACGCCTCATATCGGGCATATTGTATTGTATCTTTGGGTTCCCGATGCACCTGTTGATAGGTGTTTTCAGGAACCCATTTTTTTTAAATAATATATATATAATTATATTTAAAAATGAAATTGAAAAACAAAAAAAATAAAGAAAATAGGGGGAGTATCATTATAAGTACTGATACACCTCTGCCTATATACAAAGGTGTATTGATACGTTGAACCATGGGTTCAATAGAACAATTAGCAATGTTTGTGTTGATTAAACCCTAACAAATAAGAAAATAATAGAAAGAAATTAGTATATAAACACATAAAATGAATATTCTAGTTTAATAATGTCTATTTTATAATTATAATGTCAAAAAATAAAAAATAAAAAAAGTATTTTATAACGTAGTACACAAAACTGCTTGGTGATTGGGCGAGGCGAGCCTCCGAGGGCATCTTGTCGCCTAGGTGTCGCCTTGTCAACTATGGTTGTAGGGACCTTGGTGTCTAGGGGGAGATTTCAATGTATTAAGATTTTCAAGGGAAACAAACAACCCAAACCAAGGCGAGCCTCCAAAGGCATCTTTCTTTGAGGATTAAAGAAGCCCTCCCATCCATCATTAGTTGAGCCCAAGGGGCCTTCATTCAAGGACGTCAGATAATTGATCAGATCTTGATTGCAAATGAGTACGTGGAGGAAATGAAGAGATCTAGGAAAAGAGGTTTTGTTTGCAAGCTAGACCTAGAGAAAGCCTATGATCTAGTGGATTGGCAGTTTCTGTTAGAGGTGATGAGGAATTGTGGATTTGGGGAAGGTGGTGCAGTTGGATGATGGGTTGTGTAAGTTATTGTCACTTTTCCATCCTAGTAAACAGAGTGGTTAGGGACTTCTTTCCAGCCTGTAGGGGCATTAGGCAAGGGGTTGGCGAATTATCACTAGGGCTAATAGGGAAGAGGTCATAAGGGGTTGGAGAATAGGCAGAAACCAAGTTCCAGTTACCCATCTTTAGTTTGTAGATGATTTAATGATATTTTGTGATGGAGGCTTTAGTGAGAAGGTGGGAAACTTAAAGGAGTTGATTAAGACCTTTGAAGAAATTGTGACATGGCAGTTGAAGAACGATTTCAGAAGATTTAAATGGATGTCAAGGAACATGCCAATTCAGGTGGATGGGTAAGGAGATCTGCCAACAGTTTGGCAGATAGCTTAGCAAAGTAAGGGGTTCAAAGAACATATGTGTTTTGGGCACATTTGTAATTCTGTACTGGGTCAGCTTACTATGCTGATTTCTTTTGTAACTTCTTGTTGTATCCTAAAGTATTTTAGTCAATAAAATTTTCAAAGTTATTGATAAAAAAAGACCTTTGAAGAAATTTCCAACTTGAAAATCAACTTAGAAAAGAGATGCATAGCGGGGATTAATTTGGAGAATGATGAGATTGCACATTGTCTTGAATGCTCTACTTCCTCTTGGCCTATATCCTACTTAGGGCTTCCATTAGGGGCAAATCCTAGGGAGAGTAGGTTTTGGACTCCAGTCATAGAGAAGTTTGACAAGAGGTTAGTGGCGTGGAAGAAAAACTACATCTTGTTGGGTGGAAGGATAACTTCGATAAGAGCTACTCTTACAAACCTACCTACTTATTACCTCTCGGTCTTTAGGATACCGCCTAGGGAAGCAAAAAAATTAGAAAAATTGATGAAAGACTTCCTTTGGGAGCTAGGAGAGGGGAAAAATGATTTGGCATGAAGTGGTGAAGAGTATTCATGGATGCTCAAAGAATGGATGGGATGCTGGTGCATCAAGAAGGGCTAACATGGCAACACCTTGGAAGGCAATCCACAAAATTCTCCCAAAGTTTCTCAGTTGTGTCAGGTATAATACTTGTTCTGGGACTTCTGTTTGTTTTTGGGAAGACACTTGGGTTGGGGATCTCCCTCTTAAAGATTTTTTCCCTTCCTTGTTTTCTGTTTCTTGGTTTAAAAATGAGGCGATTTCAAAATTCCTTCCTTCTCTGTTAAATCCGTCGGCCTTGTCTTGGGATTTGGGTTTTCATTGAGGGTTAAGGGATGAAGAAGTTGTTTGTTTGGCTAATTTGCTTTGCCTCCTTGAAAAAGTGTGGTTGGATTCTTCTTTGCTAGAAAAGAGGATTTGGGCCCCTCACCCCAAAGGGTTATTTTCTTGTGGTTCCTTTTTTAAGTTACTTTGTAATACCTCCCCTCAACAGGCTTTCCCTTCCAAAGAAGTTTGGTGTAGGCCGGTCCCCCCTAAGGTAATGTCTTTTTCTTGGAAAGTGTGCCATGGGGAAGTCAACACCATGGATAACCTACAAAAGAGAAGACCCTTTATTTGTATCTCTCCTAACTGGTGTACCCTTTGCAGATCTCATGGTGAGGACTGTTATCATTTATTTCTATCCTGTGATGTCATTGCAGAGCTTCGGGGATGGCTTTTATCTCTATTTGGGTGTGGGAGATGCCAACAGATTTAAGTTTGTTGTTCAATTCATCTACCTTCTCATGGCCCCATAAAAGAGGAAGAAGAATGTGGAGGTGTGCAAGAGCAGCGTTGATTTGGACAGTGTGGGAAGAAAGGAATTCAAGATTATCCCAAGAGAAGGAAAGGAGCAGCCAGGCATTGAAGGATTGCAAGGGCAATACATTGGTTAAAATCTATGTAACTATTTCATTCCTTCTCCTTTAATGACCTATGGAGGAACTGGACAGCAGTAGCAAGGTTTTCTACAAACTGGGCCCCCCTCCACAAGGTTTTCTGAAACTGAATTTTGATGGGAGCAGACAAGCAACCCAGGGCCCTCTGGCTGGAATAAACTCAGCCCAAGGTATTTTGGCCCATTCCAGATCACTGCCAAGATTGGTATAGTAGCCTACAAGATGGATCTACCACCAACATCCAAACTTCACCCCGTTTTTCATGTCTCCGTGCTTAAGAAATGGCCCAAACCTAGGGCTGTTACAAGTTCCACATTGCCACCATTTTCGGAGGACGGACAACTTCAAATGGAACTAGCACGCATTGTAAATTTTCGTTAGGTATGGGTTCATCTTCCAGAAACCAATGCTACTTGGGAACCTTATCTCGATCTCCAGAATTGCTTCCCAGATTTAGACCTTGAGGGCAATGCCTCTTTTA